GGCGGGCGCTTCTACGCCAAACCCCACCAGTGCGTGGCCATCCCTGCCGACCTGCGGCTCTGCCACAGCGTGGGCTACGACAAGATGGTGCTGCCCAACCTGCTGGACCACGAGACCATGGCCGAGGTGAAGCACCAGGCGAGCAGCTGGGTGCCGCTGCTCAACAAGAACTGCCACATGGGCACCCAGGTCTTCCTCTGCTCCCTCTTTGCCCCTGTCTGCCTGGACCGGCCGGTCTACCCGTGCCGCTGGCTCTGCGAGGCCGTGCGCGACTCCTGCGAGCCCGTCATGCAGTTCTTTGGCTTCTTCTGGCCCGAGATGCTCAAGTGTGACCAGTTTCCCCAGGACGATGTCTGCATTGCTATGACGGCTCCCAACGCCACCGAGGTCTCCAGGCCCAAAGGTAAGGGGTGACCAATGCTCCAGCGCTGCTCCTGGTGCCGCCCCCTGAGCAGACGGGGCAGCCATTAGCCTTGGAGGGCTGTGTGGGACTGAAGGGGTCTTGCAGCAGGAGGAGGCTCACCTGAACTTTCCTTCTCGGCAGCAAACCTCCTCCAGCCCCCGAGCACTCCTGTCCTGAGCAAGACAGGACACCCTGCCAGCTTCTGGCCTCCATCGCGGAGCTGAGGAGCGCAGGGGCACGGCGGGTGCATGGCTGCTCTGATCCCTGCGCAGGCACTGGGGCCGCGCTCTGGCCCCTGATGGACCAGGGCTCCTCCGACCCTCCATCCTCCAGGTGCTGCACTGCGCCGGCAGCAGTTTCTCTGCCAAACCCGACTCCTGCGGGGCTGTTCTTGGCGGCAGTGGGACATGTGGTCCCCGTGGCAGACAGTGCTGCCTGACCGGAGTAAACAGTGACAGCAATCCTGGCAGGGTACCTCGCTTCCCGAGCACTCCTGGGGTGCGGTGCTGGGCAGCCGGCGGCTGCACGTGTGGGGGAAATCCATCCCTGCTCTCCCATGTGCCGGCAATGGGGTGAGAGACTGATCAAGGAACAACGGGGGAGAGCAGATGTGGTTCTTGTTCATTTTCATGACGTTGGGCAGGTCTGTTTTGTGCCAGCCTGGCTTGTTTGTGCCACTTGCAATGGGTCTGGCTTGTTGGGGAAAACTTTTAAAATAAATAAATATCCCGGTGTCACTTCGGCATTCTGCATCGGAGCTCTTTGAAGGGCTGGCAGGAGGGATGTTTGCAGAGGGAGAAGGCAGAGGGCTGTAAAAGTGCAATGCTTTCCTGTCCGGAGCTTCACCGAAAGGGACGGGCGCTCCCGATTTCACGGGGATAGCGCAGGAAGGCGCTCGGGGACGGGGGAAGCCGCGCGTGGGGCTGAGCGATTGCCATGGCTTCTGCGCTGTGCCAGAGCTCATCTGGAGGGGAGGTCACCCTTCGCAGCGGCCGCTCGTGTGCGGTTACCTTTACAGACAAAGGCTTTACGTGGTGCTCGGCCGGGAGCCCTCGCGCAGGAGTGTGCATTGTTGTCCCACTCCTCCCGGTGGGGCTCATGCTTCAGGGAGCCCTTCAGTTACAGGGCAGGAAGGGAGCGCATCCCACGGCGGAGCGGTGACACCCTGGGGGTGTCCCCAGGAGACGGTGCGGGGACATGCGGAGGGCGGTGCCTTGTGGGGACGGGGCAGTGGCTGCGGGCAGGGAGGGACGCCTGAGCTCGACACCCCCGGGGCTGTGCAGGGAGCATCTCTCGCGTCCTGGCAGTGGCATCCGGAGGCAGGTGGGGTGCGAAGCGCGTTCCCCCGCCGGGGGGTGAGGTTTGGCTGCTCTCGCCGACGGCAGCACAGCCACGCTGGCTTCCTCGCCATGGCTTGCGCTTGCTGATGTGATTGCTGGAGGAAGCTCTTTGTTTTCCAGGAGGGCTCTAAAATCATCTGTCCTGTGTGAACCTAGACCCTTGGTCAAGACCGCAGCCGCGTCCTGTGTTGTGGGTACAAAGGTGGCGTTTATTCCCCAGGGACTTGCAGCCAAGCCTGCTCCTGGGGCGGCCGGGGCTGAACTGCTCGCTGTAGAGCTGCCCCTTCCAAGGACCAAAACAGAGTTTGAGCTGTGTGCAGGTCATTCATTTTGGAGACATTAATGACCACCTGGGAACAGTCTTCTAGAGGAGCAGCATCTGCTGTTTTCCCTTGTGTGGTTTAATTACTAACCTTCTGATCACCTTTCAGACCTGTCCTGACAGCAGCATTGAGGGGGGACGGTACCGCTTTCTTTTGGTGCTGCTAACGTGCCCATCAGCACAGTATTTGGTCACCGTGCTGTCGTTCACAGGCATCACTAAAGTGACTTTATTGCAAGGAATTACATCAGCTCAGGCTTGAGTCCTTTGTGGGTCTGGTGCTGGTCCTGTTCGGTGTGCAGAGAGTCCTCATTCTGCAGAACCTTTAGGGTGTACAAACTTGTTCTTGAGTTAATGGTAAATCAGAGCTGGGTGAGTATTGCATGGAAGCATTACAGCCACTCAGATGAAGCACTGTCTGCTAAATGGCTTTGCAAAACTTATGTCCCAAGCACTTTTAAATGAGCAATTTGTTTGCAAGGATGTTTACAGAAAGTAAGTCTTTAAAATTGTTGTGCAAATGTGAACTCTCTTCAGCATTCAGCAGAAGAGTGGAAAAGTGTGAAGTTGTTCGCGTCCCCTGGCTGCTTGGGAGTATTTCAGGAGGAAACCCCTGCACGTGCTGTAGCTGAGCCCCAGCAGCTCCCGAGGGCTCAGGCTGAGCTCCCTGTGCCTGTCGCACCAGCGGCAGTGCTTCTCCATGAGGGGATGAGCAGTCTTGCTAGAAAATGCTTCTTCCCGTGAGAAGGCCAACCCCCCCGGCCTGCTGTGCTGCACCCACTGCCCTTGGGCCGGCGTTCACGGCATTCACGCTGGTTTGTGGCAGAGGCGTCTGCATGCGTTCTCCTGCAAGTAACCCTCGGTGGATGCAGCTCCACGTGCCGCATATGCCGGGTGCGGGGACGCTGGTGCCCCATAATGCTCAGAGCGAGCAGAGCAAACTTAAAGTTAATTGCGGCCACTGCTGTAATGTACACTGGCACAGCCGTGTCTCTGCACTGCTGCTCCCGTGCTCCGCTGGATGTCCGCGTGTGGCTGCGGTGATGGCAGGGCTGGTCCCAGCAAGGCGCGCGGTGCTTGGCCCTTGTGCGGATGAGGGCTGGCTATGGCTGAGCGTGCCTGTGCTGCTGCGGGTCAGCCCTCGTCCCAGTGCGTGCCAGCTCCTTCCCCCGGCCTGGGGCTCCGCTGCCGGAGATCCGCAGTTTGTGTGTGTCTTCATGAGTGCCGGCTCCTGGAGCCCCTTCGGTCTCGGGCATGGGGTGTGTTTCCTCTTGATTTGGAGAGGGTCAGAACGCAGCAGTCTCCCCCCTTTTCTCTGGGCACTAATAAGAACGAGCCCTTTCAGTGCTTTTCCCCATTAACACCTTGGAATTGGAATTTGTTTCTGCCTCTCAAAGAGCTGACCTGCGGAATTCCTTTCTCCTTAAGCACGGGGCGGTGAAGCCTGTGGGCCTGCAGGATGCATCGGGGGAGTTGCAGATTAATATAGCATTACACATTCCTTCTCCTGCTCCTGCAGTAAGCTGGCGCTGAGGCCAGGCGTTAGAAAATGGTCAGCGGGGAAGAAGCGAGCTGGAGGCAGGCGGAGGTTGTGCTTGGAGTGGAGATGGTCCCCAGCTGACCTGCAGTAGGCGAGGAGGCAGGCGGCTGTGCCCGGCGCTGTGAGCGGTGCCGCGGGGCACAGTGCGGCCGGGTGCGTGCCAGCATGGCCACCTCTGGGCCACTGCTGCGGGGACTGCCCGAGGCGGGAGGACCAGAATCATGGTGGGGCTTTTTGTTGGGTCTTCAGCCTGGAATTGTGCAGGAAGGGGAAGGTGAGGTGCTGGGCAGCACTGTGGGCTGGAAGACGTTGGCCATGATGCCTCGGGAACGCTGGGAGGCAGTTCCAGGACAGCTGTGGCTCCACGGAACAGCAGTTTTCCTGGGGCACAGAGCAGTGCCAGAGCTGGTTGGGGCCCTGACATTCGTGTTCCTGACCTCGGTGTGATGGGGTGTCCTCTCGGAGAGGAGCATTTCCCTTCCCCTCGGTGGGGGACAGTGTACCCCGGCAGCCCTGCAGGCATGTCTGTGCTGCGGCGGGGCACGGGAGGCAGGGATGGAGGCACAGCTAAAACAAAGCCTGTATTTTCACCAGGGAATGATGAGTCTTATTTTCCGTTTTTGTTTTGGGTTTTTTTTTTTCCCTTTGCTTGCCTGGAAAGCTCATGGGGTGGACACGGCGATGGCTTCCATGTTGTTTGTCTGGCCTGTGTACACTTGGCCAGTCTCCTCCTAGTGTGCGCTTTGGCTGCCGAGGCACATCGAAGGCTTTTCACACTGGGATGTGCAGAGATGAGCTAATGGACAGCAAGTACCCCGTCTTGTTCCTGCAGGTGGTCCCCAGCACCGTAACTACTTCTTGGCACTGCAGCAGAGACGGAGTGCCAGGACCATCACCCTCCTGCGAGCATCCCCTCTCCCTCTGCGTGAGCTCCGTGCACGCACAGCCTGCATGGAAATATTCTGACTGCTGATTGTAAAAATAAAGCATTGGGGACATCATCACGTCCCCTCCCCAAGGCTGGCTTCTGTCAGTGTCGCTCTAAGTTAAGGCAGCAAAAGTGGCAATTGAGATGGTAAAAGTGGCAATTGCACATTAGGGTTTTGGAAGCGGAAGTTACGGAGGTGATAGGCGGCTCTCACAGGTACCGGGAGTGGGACTGTGAAGTCTTCTGTTGGGTGCTGCGAAGGTTGCCTTGTGGCTCTCACATCGGGGCGATGGGAGGGCCAGTTGCTCTGCATGTGTGATTAATAAAGACGTGGTGTGTGACCCGAGGAGGTAGCGTTTGGCACAGAAAAGATTTGGGGGGCGCGAGAGGGGAAAAAAAAGCCACAGAAAACAAATGTCTCGCCTGAAGCCCCACGGGGCATCTGTGACTGGGGAGACTCAACTCTGCGGTTGGCGCGGGTCATAGCTGTGCCTCCCTCGCCAGCCCTTTTGGCTCTGCTCCCCTTTTTCTGCGACACCTCTCTGTTTTTCCTGTCCAGCCACGCCGTGGGTTTTGCCGGCCTGGCTGCGGGCTGGAAGGGGGTGAGTGCTCCGTCTGCACGCAGGGACCGGCAGATGTTTCGCTGCAGTGCCGTCCACGAGAATAACTCCCTTGTGTGGGAAAGAGCACTCCGTCCTGCTGGACCAGGAACAGACGCAGCATCTCCAGCTCAATAAATTCACCCGCCAGTAGCACAAATCTGCGTCTGTGCTGCTGGGTGGTCTCTGCTCCGGCTGGAGACGGGAACCTGGAAACAGATTTTTTTTCTCTGGGTGAAGTGAGCTTTCCTCCCAGGATGGATCCCAATGAAATGTTCTGGGCTGGCGTTTCCCGAGAGGAGGATGTCGGCCGCTGCCAGCGGCTGGTGAGCAGAGCCGACTCCTCTGCTGGAGCCACACGGCTGCCCCACAGGGTGTAGCTGGGCCGAAAACAAAAAGGAGAAGATGTCTGCTCTCGGGGTCGTGCTGTAGGGGCTTCTGGAGGGGAACGGCACGCGTGAGAAGTGTGCGGGTCCATCACCAACCAGTGCGGCTCTGGGCAGGGTGGGCGGCAGGCAGGTGAGGGCCTTGCCAGGCAGTGCCCGGGCAGACCAACCAGTGCGGCACTGGGCAGGGTGGGTGGCAGGCAGGTGAGGGCCTTGCCAGGCAGTGCCCGGGCAGACTGCGAGGTGGTCCCTGGCACCGAGGGGGACCCTGCACTGAGCTGGGCTGTGCCGTCCCAGCCCTGACACCCCCCGGCTCCGGGGCAGCCCCTCGGCGCGTGAGCAGTCCCTGGGCACCGTCCTCCCGCCATGCCGGGGTTTGGGCACCGTGTGCCCGCCTTGGCATGCCGCGGGGCGGGAACA